TAAAAAAATTCTTGTGTAGGTCTGGGAGGATCACAGCTCAAGGCTAAGGGTGAAGATGACTAGACTGACACAGTTTAGGGTAAGACCGCGGGCTTTTTTGGCGTCACGAGCAGTGTGCAGGGATGCAGGGTTTAAGGTTCAGGGCTTAGAGTTCAGTTTTGCATTCTCCAAACCATGCCCCTGAGCCTGAGATCCTTTCAGATTGTCCGCAGACGCTGACAACTTCATCAAGCTTAGCATAGAGCGTAAACACAAACCAGACCGGCAAATCGAGACTTCTGGGTTGCTGTTAAGGAGCTTAAATAAAACTGTCATAATGGGTATATATAGTAACTAGGATTTCCCCAAAATAGCAACTTAAATTAATTTCCTTAAGAGCAACCCAGACTTTTCATTCTGAGTTTTGGTGACGGTGGTGTTCCTTATTGTGTGTCCAATTGGGGAGACCCTTTTTTCCTTAAACAAATGCATGTGCCATTTGGGAACCTGCATAAATGCTCAGCAGATTAGTTTGTGAACCTTATACAGGTATACCCCTAAACCCTAAACCGTGTTCTTCTCAGGAAAAGTTGAACATGAGAGTCTCTTCAAGCAGACCTCATGAAACCCTTACTAAGGACACTCACGATCCCCTGACAATTCCCCCTTTTTAGGCGCCGACACCGAAGATCCTGGACCGTATATCTTGAAACCTCAACCCTTTTGAAAACCCTGCTTGGAGGTTCAGGGTATCTAGAACCCCATTATAATGAGAATGGGGACCTATGCCTCAGTCCTGTGGTAGTTGCTTTTCTTGACCATTCGCCCAGTATTCACCAACTTACACTACCAAAGTAGACCCCAAAATACGTTCATCCTTTTTATGGGGACGTCAAAAAGGAACCCTGAAGTGTTTCAAACCTAAATTCTTACATTTTCCATCAATATCCCTAATATGAGCCCTACATAATCCATGTCTCCCCTGTAACCCTAAACCCTGAAAACCTTAAACCCTAAGCCGTAAGCCCTAAACCCTAAGCCCTAAGCCCTAAACCCTAAACCCTTAACCCTAAAGCCTAAAAACCTGAAACCCTAAACCCTAAAGGCCCTAGACCCTGGGCCCATAAACCTCTTGGCCAGATCCCAAGCGCTCGAAGCCGAGACTGTCGAGGCACGCTTGGATTCCTGGGTTGCGGGTTCAGGGGTTTGAGTTTGGGCTTTGGGGAGTTCTGTGTAGGGTTTTGAGTTTGGGGTGTAAGGGTTTGGGTTTTGGGGTTTGGGTGTTTTCTGTGTAGGGTTTGGGGTGTAGGTTCCTGTGTGTAGCGTTCAGGGTTTGGGGTTCAAGGTTTTGCGTCTAGGGGTTTAAGGTTTGGGGTGCAGGGTCTGATGATTTAGAATTTTGGTTACAGGGTTTAGAATTGAGGTTTTAGGATGGAGGTTGCTGTTGGGAACTCAGATGAAGTTACGATGCTGAGGAACTCATGCAGTTTGCTACCCACATATCTAAACTCCTAACATCCCCGTTAATAACCCTTATAGTACTCTCCGATACAATCCCCTAGACAAGCCCTTGAAAGATTTTAGACTATGCATTCTTCATATTGCAGTGTAACTTTGAGTTTCTCAGCACTGACTCTGATTTTAGGCAGTTTAAGGTTTAGGAGCGTTAGGAGGTCCAGTGGTCCTTAAGGCCCGGAGCCTTGGACTCTTGAGATCTCTTGACCTGGAACCCCAGACTGGGTTGCTGTTGAGGGTGTCATTACTGTAGGGTTTAAGGTTTACGGGTTCCATATTAAATCTAGGTCAATCGACAGGAAGATGGGACAAGAATGCAATGAGAATTGGGGCTAACCCTAAACCTTCAGCCCTGAATCCTAAGCCCTAAACGGTGGGTTGAGGAATTTAGGTTATGTCGGCCTTGAGAGAAACCCTTCATATACTACCTATGAGCTATAGTATAAACTTTTTAAGGGGCTATATAGGGTTTAGAGTTTAGGGTTTAGGGTCTAAACTCCTTAAAGGGGGTTATACAGGGGATTGTGTAGGGGAGTATCATAGGGGTCATTAAGGATTAAGGGGGCTACTAGGAGTTTAGACTAGAGCTCATATACAGATCATAGTAACTTAGCTTATTCTCTTTGAGAGCAACCCAACAAACCCTACTTCAAGGTTGATGTGGCTGAGTAATTATGTACTTCTATCTGCAGTTACAGCCCTACTCATGATTGGGGTAGCTTATGTAAGCCCAGTCAGTGAGAACCTTAAACCCTAGGAACCCTAGGAACCCTTTGACATGTAGGAACCCTAGGAACCCTAGCAACTTTACGAATCCTAGAAACCTAAACCCTAAACCCTAGGAGGCCTAGGAAGTCTAGGAACTCCAAACCCTGAACCGTGTGAGTCTCTCCTCAAAAACCAGTGCAAGGAGGGCGAGAGCACATCTGCCAGCCAGGACTCCGTTTTGCCTTACGTGCGCGTTTAGGGTTTACGGTTTAGGGTGAAGCCCTCAACCCCAAGCCCCATAACCCTATGTAAGTCCTAAGCCCTAAATCCTAAGCTTTAAGCCGTCGTTCGGGATTAGGTTTGAGAGCGGCTTAGTGTTTATTTAGGGGTCTAGGGTTTAGGGCCGAGGGCTTACCCGTTGGGTTAACTTGCACATATTCTCCTATAACAGTCCCTAGATTCCCCCTTAAGCACCAGGAAAGTTCACCAACCGGTTAGGGGGACACTAAGTACGGTTATGGATTTTGCCATAAGTACCAAGCCCCATGAACCTTCCAGCGCAGGAACATGTAGCTTCACCTCCCTCATCACGGTCCACCAGCGATGTTGGGCTGAGGCAGCTGTTACGAAGACCCCCAAACCCTAAACCCTAAACCATTGGGCTTTAATGTATGGGCTTGGGGTTTGATATTGACAGGGTGTACCTGAACCTCCACAAAAATGTGTAGAATAAATATTTCTGGGTGTTGGGCTATTATTCTGCCTACTTTTGGGGGTCCAGGTAGGGAGTCTGAAGTATAGGAGTCCGGTGATGAGGGTGTCGGGGTTTTTGAGTTTAGAAGCTCCCTGCAGACTGTTCAGTGATACCTTCCCCCTTACAGCAACTGTTCTTATAGGAGTCTGTATTAAGGGGCTCTTATAACTCCTATCATAACTCCTACTATAACTCCTGTTATCCTTCCTATTACTTATTATGGCAACAGTTACTGTAAGGGAATAGTGGCCTAAGCGATGCCACCTTAGGACCGCGGCGTCTTGTTTTTGGGCTTCAGACGCACAGACAAAGCATGTCAGCAGTAACAGTAACAATGGCAATGATAGCAACGCAACAATCGTACTAGTGGTTCTTCAGCTCCTGCTTTGGGTTTGGGAGTTGAGAGGCCCAAGGAAGGCTTCGTTATAGTTATGGGTCGTTTGTGGGTTCTGTAGAGTGTGAGAACACCATTTTTTAAACCCTCAGCCCCTAAACTTTAGACCGTAAACCCCTAAGCCTTTTTTGTTTGTGTACATCTTGAGCGTGGGCCTGGAGCTATGTGGCGGTTTAAGATTTATAGGTCTAAGGTGTAGGGTTTAGGGTTCAGGGTACCCACTTGGTGAAACTTGGCGACTCTAAACCCTAAACCCTAGATTCTAGCCCAGGATCGGGGTCGTGCCCACTCCTCAGTATTTTTTCGGGATTCCCTCATTCAGCGGGAACATTAAAACTAAACTTTCAACCCTAAGCCTTAAGCCCTAAACCCTAAACCTAAACCCTACCTGGACCCCAAAAGTATGTCAAATAATGGCCTTTATGGCTGTTATTATGGGTTCAGGGTTATTAATTTACATACTTTTAGGGTTTAGGTAAAGCTTAAGCCCCAAACTATAGGCCCTTCAGCCCTAAACCTCAATCTCCAAACTCTCGGCCTTGAACCCTGGACCTCAAGTCCGGTCGGAAGTTGCCCAAACTTTGACATGTCTCGCTGTTCCGGACGCTCCCTTGGCTCAAAGTACGCAGATTGACAGAGGGCTTAGGGTTCAGGGTTTTGGTCTGAGCTTCTTGGCTTCGGGTCTGTACGGTTTAGTTTCCTTGAGTTAAAGCTCCTTTGCTAGCTGGAGGTCCTTTTGCTCTTGCGCAGAATTCCGCACAATCCCTAACCCTAAACCCTAAGCTCTCCATTTGAAATCACAAGTTGCCAACTTGTGTGGTCTATGCTGGCACCCGGATTGAAACTGCCAAAGGTCTTGAGAGGCTTCGGGTATGTATTCGCTAAGGCTCGCGGACCCCCCTGACCCCTAAGCCCTGGTCCCCTCAAAAAGGAAGCCAGACTTCAACCCCCAAACCTTAAAACCTAAAGCCTAAACCCTACACCCTGAACCCCACACCCTACAACCCTAGACCCCAAATTCCTAAACCCCAAACCCCTAAACCCCAAACCCCTACACCTGATACTCTAAACACATAACTCTAGGGAATGCCAAACATTCGCCCCGCAAGTCCAGCCATTTCCCCCCCAGGCCCAGGACAGTCCTTGGAGACGCTGGGTGGGGACTCTGCATATGTTAGGGCTATATAGGGTTATATAGGGGATATATAGCTTTAGGATTAGGGTTTAGGACTTAGGTTTAAGGGTTTAGGGTTATTCCCTCAACAATGGAAACTCAAATGAATGGAGAACAAAATGGCGAATAACATGGAAATTCAGCTTGGCCGTGTTATGACTACTTGTACTATATTTGTACTACTACTTGTACTACTAAATAACTTGGTACGACCCTATGCCCTGTGATTTATTATTGGACCCCCCTCTTGCATAAACTAAACCAAAAACCAGGACAAGTTTGGGTGTGATTCTTTCTTGGCATCGTCCCTAAACCCTAAATCGGGGCATGTGCCCCTGGCCGCGGCTACTTCGGCCTTAACAAAGGGTAGCTGGGTAGGTACACTTATTAGGGCTCCCATGACCCTGCTTGTTTATATAAACACCAGTTACACTGTTTGGCCGAGGGAGAGAGAACTTGGCAAGCTAGACTTGGCAATGGAGGCCCAATCGCCCAAAAGTTTGCTCCGCGCGTTCACAACTTGGAACACCTGGGGCGTTCCCTTCGCCTCACCTTACTTGTTCCACCGCTTCGGTAAATGGCGTGCTTTCCATGATAGGCAGCTGCTGACTTTCTTAGGCGAGCATGCTCCTGATGCCATCCCGGGTGGAGACTTGATAGTTTGCTGCTTTCAGGAGGTGTGGAGCTTTCCGAAAGGGCCGCTGATGGAATGTACTGCCCGCATGGATCCACGAAAGGTGGGCGAAAAGTGGGAACGGTTTGTGCTTTGCCTCGGCATCGCATGCCGCTTGTTGTCCTGCTTTGTTTCTTACCTGTGAAGTGGATAAGCTTTAACTTCTTTGGGTAGTGCGAAGCCCAATGTAAACTCAAAGGTTAGCCCTGGCTGGCCCCTAGATACAGAACACCTAAGGTTTGGGATGCGGCACAGAAGCTATTCGAAAAGAGGGAGCCAGATGCTCCGCGGATTGAGTACACAGCGGTTGTGGGGAACAGGGGCATGTCCCTTGCCTGGAACTCTTTGGTCGACTCCGGCCTTTGCATTTTTTCAACTCGCGCTCCCAGTGAGAAGGGTTTCCGCGCGTATCGCAACTACCCAGATGGTCTTCATGAAGAGCGGCTGGCCAATAAGGGTGTCTTGTCTCTCCAGAGGATAACCTCTAATCTTCTTGCGGTAATACTAAACCCACTATAAACACAACAAGGATAAACTTGGGAAAGCCCTACATACTGGACAACTCAGGTGTGCTGTGGGCTTTTTGGGTGGACGGCTCCCAAGGGCTGTTGGTCCTGAATACCCACTTGTCGACCAGATCGGCAGTGAAACTGAGACAGCTTGGAGAACTGGCAGGTCTCTTCACAGAGCTGAAAAGCAGGTTCCTGAGCTCCGCCACCGTGCTCGAAGTCTACGTCTGCGGGGACTTCAACCTGGATCCCCAGCGAGATCCTGGTTTCAAATCTTGGTGCGAGGAGCTCGGTTTTGAGCGCATCACCACAGGCAAGCCGACCAACGCGTGGCTCAGTGTTGCGTTGGACCACATCTTCACATGGCGTTCTGATAGCCGGAAGATCTCACGCGTGGTCTCCGACCCCGTCCGTCCATGGGTCGAGAAATGCCAATTTGGCACATGCCACTGCGAGCGGGATGATATTTCTGATCACTGCTGGCAGTGCATGGTGGTGCGCAAGTAACGGCTATATGATTTGGAAGATGCATGAAGATGCCCTACATGACCATAGTACAATGTACGTTGAGTTGGCCATCAAGGATCTCGTTGAGCATCTTCTCGCAGGCAGTGACCAAACAATGCCTCAGCTTTCTGACTGTGCGCGGAGAATGCAGGAATGGAAAGGAATATGGAAGCTACTACATTATTGGGGCGGTTATACGTGTATATATATATAGAGAGATAAGCATGGACTACTACATGGCCATTTTCTACTGACAACCAGTACAGTAAGTAGACAGATGTCTGGGGCCACTGGCTTCTGCCCCTCTGAGACCTTACTGTCATTGACTTTATAGCAGTGTGTTCACTGATGGTTTCGAACAGGTCTTTCTGCAGCTGCTAGGGGGGTGAGGCGTGAGCACCCTGAACCCTAAGCCCTAGACCTTAAGATTTTGAACCGCAGGCCTCAAATACAGTAACTACATTTGGTCGAACTTGGCCTTCCAGTCCTTTCACTATCCTGTGAGCATCCGGAATCCGGAACCCTGACAGTGCCCGAGACCGGGGAATGCAAACAATTCCCAGAGGGTCCAAGAAGGTCTCTTTAAAGGGATGTATAGGGGTATGTAGGGATGTATGGGGATATATAGGGTTCAGGGTTTAGGGTTCAGGGTCCAAGTACTCAATGCTTAGGTACTTAGGTTTAGGGTAATTTTAACTATTGTGCAGGTGTTGGCTAAGCATATGATTATTAGGTACTTGGACCCTTAGGGACTTGTAGATGCGAAAGATCCTTCACGACCCGAAGTCATTCAGACTTTGAGCAGTACGATGTTCCACTCTGTTCAGAGTCAGGCTTTGATGCTCTTGTTGTAGGCTTCAAGCCTCAAACCAAACCCTAAATTCTCAATCCCGAAGCCCTTGCAGTTTATTGCGACGGGGGTTGGGCTTGTCTAGGGATTGGAGTACCCGCATGACACCATGGACCCTAATGCCCGAACCCTAAGCCCTAATACCCTTAACCCCAAACCGTCCAAGCGGCTGAACAAATTTTGCCACCATGCTCTAGCAAAGGGTTTGGGGCTTAGGATTCTCTAAATCCTCAACCATCTCCTTGGGACTCAACTTGGACGTTAAACCCTTAACCACAGCTCGCGGTTTCCCGCGTACTTTCAACCCTGAAGATCCGAAGCGCGCGCAAGAATTTCAGGAGGGTTACCTTAGATAGGAGTGCTCAGGGAGCGTGGAGGAGTGAATCTCTATAATAATCCCTATATTTTTAGAAGGGTGCGTTTAGGGTTTAGGGTACCCCTATACGGTACCAATATTCACTTCCTTTTGGTACCTGCCATTGGCTTGCTGGACAAGGTTGAAACCCAAAACGCTAGATGCATAGGTGTACATGCTTGCATGCTGTTTATACATATTGTGCGTTTCTTGGAATACTGATGAGGGTGTAGATTAGAATCTTTGAAGGGGTCTGTATACTCCTCAATCTGGACTCTTTTCAGAATTTCCCATCAATTTCCACACGGTTAACGGACAACTGTTACTGTTGATGGGGTCTCCCAAACAGGGCCATGCAGCCCGACTCTCTTGCGAGATGCTAGAACAGGTCAGAGAGTGGCGTGTCACCACCACGGTTCGGACCCTGGCGATTTACTTTGCGACTAAGGTGTTTACTTGGAGGTTCAGGGTAGCCATATCCCAATAATACCTGGTACTAAGAACCAAATTGCAGCCATGTCCTGGGACATAGGGGGGGTTATGATTGGGTCATACGTGCAGCTAGAATTGGGTTACAATTACCCTGAACCTCCAAATAGAGTTTCGGGGGTTGGCAGAAATCCTGTACCACTTCAGGCCCCCTAAGGCCTGAACCTTTAAGCCTAAACCCTGAACCCTAAACCCTGAACCCTAAACCCTAAACCCTAAACCCTAAACCTAAACCCTAAACCCTAGCTACTGTTTTTGGTAGGACCAAAGACACTTAGAGCGGCCTAAGGTTTCCTCCAAAACCACAGACCCACTGCGCCTTCCCCGAAGAACTGAACCCCACCTCACGCGGCTTGGGGTTTAGGGTCTAAGGTTCATGAACAATAGACATATGGGTGGTTGTCAAAATAATGGGCCCTTTTTGGATCCCTATTATAATACGGCCCCTAATATTTAGGGTACCCGAAAAGGGACCATAATTTTGACAACCACCCATATATATATATATATGTTTTTGTGTAACTATTCGTGTATGCATACAGGTTTCTAGATATATAAAAGTTGCTGCGTGGGGAACATCCGGTTTCAGAGGGTGCACCACATAGGATCCCCCAGATGTTGTAACCTGTAACTCTGTGGCGTAGCGGGATGGAGCAGTCTGCAATAGGGTTGGTATGAAGGGCTCCGGGACTGTATACTGATGCTGAGTGGCAGCAATGTCCAGCAGATGTCCTCCATCCGCCATCATAGAGCTTGCCTAAGCTCTTCAATGTAATGATTCCCTCTCCGGGTTCAGGGTTTAAGGTTTAGGTCCCCCGCCTAACAAAAAGAATAATACTCCCCCCCACATAGAGTACCTTCAATCATGTTTGTATTCAGGGTACCGTTCAATAATGTTTGTAATCAGGGGAAGGGAGTTAGTTTCTTCGTATCCACCACTACCTGGACCCAAATGTATGTAGAATGATGGCCTTTTGGCTATATTTAGGGGTTTTGGGCCATTATTTTACCTATTTTTGAGGGTTTAGGTATACTTCTGGCCCGCTAACCCTGGTCGATGTGTGTCGTACCCATGCCTTAGCCAAAGGGTACGAAAAAACAACAGGGCAACCTGGTGGTCCATGTTGGTAGAAAGGGCATGTCTTATCTTGGGGTTAGGGTTTAAGTTTTAGCGTGTAAGGTTTTTGGATGTTAGGTTTAGGATTCGGGGTTTAGCGTTTAAGGTTTCAGGTTTACGGTTTAAGGCTTATGGTTTCAGGTTTAGGGTTTAAGGTTTAGGGCTTCAGGTTTAAGATTTAGGGTTGAGGGTTTGAGGTCGGCGGTTTAGGGTTTAGGGTTTAAGGTTTAGGGTTCCCTGACGCGGCAATTGGGCTCGTAGGTGCGCGACATGTGGCAAACACTGCCGCACAGCCCGCAAGCACCCTTGTTGAAGTCCCCGCGCTCTTAGCTGCCCTAGTCTTTAAACCCAAAACTCTATACCCTAAACCCTAAAGCTTCCTGATCACCCGCAAAATTTCAATCAACTTCCATGCCCTCAGCCCTTAACCCCCCCCCCACATCCCTTCTTAAATGGGACCAAAGTCCTTCTTACAGCTTCTTCGAGGCTTTGTAGGAGGTCTAGGATTCATGACGCTTAGAGTTTAGGCTTCAAGGCTTAGAGTTGAGGCGGTTGAGGGTTCAGTGAGGGTTAAGCGTTTAGGTTTAAGTGTGAACCCTAAACCCTTAAACCCTAGACCCCAAGCCCTAAAGCCTAAACTCTAAACCCTGAATTCAGTTTTCTCCTACGCATGGCTCGGAAGTACGGCGCTGCATCGCTGAAACGGCCGCAGTCGGCGCCTACGCGCCGCTGGGGGCCTCGGTTTAGGGTTCAGGGTTCAGGGTTTCAGGGTTTGGGGTTCAGAGTACAGGGTCTAAGTCAGCATTTAGAGCTTCATGCTCGACATCCGTGGCAGGACCTTACGTCTCATGAGTCCTGGGAATGACTGAAGTTTAGGGGCCCTAGCTGGTGCCAGAGTCGGGGGTTCCCCAAAAAAAAGGGGTACCATTATGATGGTCCCCATGATTAGGATTATAGTCTTTGAGGGTCTAGCTTGCGTCCCCCTGTTTAGGGAAACTACCATATCTTCTATCAGCGGTAAAGGTGGAGTGTAGGGTGTGCTCATTTCAGTCTCTTTGCCTGGTTGTTTGGCCTTTGGTTGTCATGTGTGCAGCGGGCCTTAGACCTGTGGTTTCAACAAGCTACAGCAAGAATCCAAAATCATGTGGGAGCTTGTTCAGCATAGTCCCTGCAGAATTGATGAAGAGGGTGGTTCACTGGCAGCACTGCTGACTAGAATGCATCAGTCGGTCAGGGTATTGCTGGGTGCGGCAGGCAAGAAGGTGCCAGGCAGCATGATGCCCACTTGGCGTAAGCTGAGGCATCACCAGCCACAGTTGCGCGCATAACAACAAATACTTGTGTGGAGCCAGCCAACTGCGGTTGTGGGCAGCAACCTGTACGGGTGACAGTTGGAGCTGCAGAAGACACAGGGCCAGCAGGCAGTGAATCTTGTAGACATGTTCTCTGCCTTGCGCTCGGCACTCCTGAACTTTGGTGAGAAATTGCTTTGCTCGTCAGGAAATTGCTGCACTGGTGGCTGGACAGAGGTGTCGCCGCAGGAGCCAGGCCCTCACAGGAGTTGCAGCAGGCTGCACGGGCCTCACCCAAGTGACAGACATCGGCTTTGCCAGTGAAAGGTCTACTTTAGAGCATATCAAAAATTTCCGTGGGCTGAGGAAACTGTCGCGGTTCATCTGAAAGATTCCGGACCATGTTTGCTGGTCAGAACGCCGTAAAGTACCTAAACCCCGCGCCCAGCCTGAGCCCTAAATCCTAAGTCGCAGATTTCGTAGGGTTCGTTTTGGGCACGGTGCTCAGGTGTGCGGGTTTCCTCTAGGTTTCTTGGACAGTAAAAAATTGCGCATGCCAATTTTCGAAGTGCTCGCTTAAGCTCTGTCTGGACCTGCTGTGGCTGTATGTATATACGCATCTGAAAGCCTAGAAAGCTCCCGGAATGTCTAGCCCTAAGGGTCCATGTACCCAATAATTGGGTACTGAGGGTTTTGGTAATAGTAATTATAGAACAGGTTTGGGGTAAGTATATGATTATTGGGTACTTGGACCCTTAGGGTCATAGGTCAGTATAATATATTATTGTCAATTGGTCTATTCCGCTCCTTATTTCGGATTTCTTGCTGTTCAAGGTTTACGCGGGCTTCACGTGGTGTAGGACGGCTTATTGAATTACCTACAGTTAAGCCCTAAGGGTCCAAGTACTATAATAATCATATACTTACCCAAAACCTGTACTATAAGTACTATTACCAAAAATCTAAGTACCAAATTATTGGGTACATGGACCCTTAGGGAAGTATGAACAACTCTTACCTAGTAGGTGTACGGTGTACCTCTGGGAAGTTGACGGGGTTTAAGAGGGACAAGGGTTGCAAAATGAAGGCGTCTTTGCGTTTGGGGCCTCAGCATGGTTCAGGGTTCTTCCTATCACGGCACTTTTTGACACCAATTACAAATGGGGTTTAGGCACCTCATATCTATGTGTATATATATATATATATGCTACGGGCCATTTATAAATGTATTGGGGTATGGGTCAGTTTCGGGTTTCTTTAATTCCCTTCTTGCCGCACGAAGGATCTTTTTTCTGCTCAGGATTGATAAAGGGGAACAGGGGCCAAGCTTTAAGGTATGGAAATAACACGGAGCCACACATTGCCTAAACCTCACCGGTCACACTTTGTGTTGGAGGAATATGGGGACTTGGAGATTTATACAATTGCCATTAACCCTTGTGGTCACCATTAGTGGATGGGGCTCCGACCTACGTCCCACCCAGGCGCATTTGCACATATGTCTTGTAGACTTGTACGGTTCCCGTTGCGTCTTCATGTGGAACTGTCTCCAGGTTGTGGTGCTCTCCCTGAGGGACTAGGATACAATGATGATATACTTTGGGTCCTTATAGTCGTTGTGGCCATTCAGGTTTTGGGAAGTCTGCACCCCTAAGCACTACACCTTCTAAACCTATGATTTGTTGGTGGTACTCAGGGTTGATGGGGACCATGGCGCATTGGTAGGGCCCCACTGCTCGACACCTTTGACCCAAAACTTGGAACCACGAACCCAACCTAACGCCCTGAATCACAAACATTAAATTGAATTTAGGGTTGAGAAGGTTCAGGGTTTAGGGGGTAGGGGTTGAGTATTGAGATGAGTTTGATTTTTGGGCTTTTGTGAGTGTAGCTGGGGTTGCGTTTATTGTCGGGGTGCGTACATGCGCATCCTTCTTCATACGAGCTATACTCTAAACTCCTAGTATCCCCTTGTATAAACCTTACAATACTCCCCTATATAATCCCCTATATGACGCCCTTTTAAGGAGTTTAGACTATGGCTCACATGCTCTTTCTTATAGTTTCCCCAGGAATGAATTCCTTTATGTGATTCCCCCCATGATTAAACTCCCGCCTGAAACTGCCTCCTGTATTCCTATTTCCTCAATCCTAAGCCTTGCGGCTTGAACCTAAATCCTGTGCCCTAAATCCTGAACTCTAAGCCCTAAATGATACAGCCCAAACTTCACACCTCTAACAAAGAAGCATGAAACCTAAACCCTAAACCCTCGACCTTTTCTGGGTAACTTTCAAACCCTAAAGAAACCCTAAGCCCTTAAAACCCCAATACAACCCCCTAGATACGCCAATATAACCCCCCAGTAGGACACCAAAAACGGAGGCCGCGCAGAATCCCTGGAATACCGATGTGACCTTACCGGGCGCAAAGCAGCTCGAGCCCGAGACGGTTTAGGGTTTAGGGTTTAGGGTTTAGGAAGAAGGGTTTAGGAAGAAGGGTTTAGGGTGTAGGGTTTAGGGTGTAGGGTTTGCGGTTTAGGGTTTAGGGTGCCGAGATTTCCCTTGGCAAGAATGTCCTTCATGGGTAAGTTTAGAGAGTTAGGGGATTTGTGTTTAGAGATTTTGGGTGTGGGATTCAGGGTTTAGGGATTTAGGGTGCAGCGGTTTGGGTTGAGGGATTTTGGGATGTAGGATTCAGTTTTAGGGATTTCGGGCGCAGGTTGGGTTTAGGGATTTGTGGTGTAGGATTCAGGGTTTAGGAAGATAGGATTTCAGGTTCAGGGTTTAGGCTTCAGGGTTTAGGGTCCAAGCAAGGATTTGAATCTGTTGCAGCTTTACAGGGATTGTAGGCAATAAAACTATACTAGAAGGATGTAAAAGCTTTAGGGGTTCACGGTCTAAGGACTCAGCTCATAGGGCTTTAGGAGCCTACATGTTTTTGGGTATCTAGAGCCTTCTCAGATGGATACTTGGACCTTTAAAAGTTACTGGTGCTTGACGGCCTTGGATGCTGCACGCTACCTAGACGTGCCAGCATATTGGCGCTTAAGACGGGGGTAGGGTAGATACCTATAAATCGTCCACGCATACTCCCTATACAAGTGATTCATTGCCTTAGATGAAGTCTGTAGCAGGCCTACCCTAGGCCCTAAACCCCAAACCCAGGATTTAGTGTGATTTGTCTGCAACTCTTATAATCCCATTATAAAGGATGTTTAACCCGGAGGGTCCAAGTACCCAAATTATAGAGGTTTAGGCTTCGAATGAGATATTTCAAAACCGTTCAGAAATTAGCCCAAAATTTGGGATCTTCCGCAAAGGGTAGCAGGTACTGTTAATGCGAGGTCGCCCAAGGCCCAAACGCTAAACTAAATCCCAGCCCCTGCCTAAACCCCAAGACCAGCATCTTCCTAGACTCTTACACTTAAACCCTAAACCCTAACGCAAATACGACCTGTATGCATACACTCCATTCAAGGGCCGTTGGTGGGGGGAGGTCCGGGCCAAGAGCCCAACACAACACCTGAAATCCTAAACCGCCTAAATCTAAAACTTTTAGGGTTTAAGGCTTAGGGTCCCTAAACCCTAAACCCAAACCCTTAAACCCTAAACCCTAAACCCCGAACATGCCTTCAGGTCCTAGCAGCGCTTGCAAAGCAACCTGTCTGCTATCCACGTCGCCCACCTAGAGGCCGGAATTTGGCGGACGTGGGGAAGTCTAGGGACCCTCGATGGTACATTTTGGGTTTAGGGTTCAGGGGGTACATATAGGGTATAGAGTTGTTTAGGGTTTAGGGTTTAGGGGGCACATATAGGGTATAGAGTTGTTTAGGGTTTAGGGGGTACATATAGGGTATATAGTTGTTTAGGGTTTAGGGTTCAGGGGGTACATATAGGGTATATAGTTGTTTAGGGTTTAGGGTCCAGGGGGGGTACATATAGGGTATATAGTTGTTTAGGGTTTAGGGTTTAGGGGGTACATATCGGGTATATGGTTTTTTAGGGTTTAGGGTTCAGGGGGGTACATATTGGGTATATAGT